CCTTACTGGGTCCGTTTTTCTTGAGGGCACTCGTTTCTGAACCGCCAGAGTTGCGTATCCGGGTTGACCTCAACCTGGCGAAAAAATGTAATGTGGCCAGAGTCATGACCCTAGCCTTTTTAGGTTAGTTTGGTTAGAAATAGCAGATGGATCCCACTGGTGTTGATGGTTTTATTCCATTTACCAGGGAAACCCATCTATTTTTCCCAAAAGGTCACCTATGTTCATGGCTTTTTGTTGGTGGACCTGACTCACCAAGATATCTTTCGGAAGATGTGTGTTTGTCCAACCCCTACAGGCCAAGTCGTTTGTTAGGTGCTGCGCAGTTTGTTTCCCTGGCCGCGGAGGGCAACCTGAAGGAGGTTGTTTAATCGATTTGTGAGTTGGCCTTTAATGGGGCACCACCTCCAAACTGCTTGGTGGACATGAACCCCCACGGAATTCTGATGTCCACCATGGGGTCCTTCATTGGGTGTGGCTCAAAATTAAAGAGCTAGGGTTACGCAGGTTTTGGACCATGTTTCCACTTACCAGGGCAACCCATTTTAGCACCGGTTTTTTGAGCCACACCCAATTGAAGTTCATGACCATGGACTTTTACACCACAGAGAGACTCCGAGGGCCTTGGCTCACCCGAAACCAAGTGCCACCGACGGACCGAGTGCCGCGCGTACGCCTCAGGCGTGGTCATCGAGAACTCCCCGTCCTCGCTGGTTGACGTGGCGATGCACCTGCTGCCCTTCTTGAGGCGGTGGTGTTTTTGTTGTTGTTCTTTTTTTTTAAAAAAAAAAAATGTGATGCTTGGGGGATACCCCTCCGGGTTTGAACGAACACCAAGAGGCCACCGTTTGTTTTTTTGTGTGTTGTTGCTTTGTTTCACATGTTTCTTCTGATCTTGTTTGTTTGTTTGTTTGTTTGTTTGTTTGTTTGTTTGTTTGTTTGTTTGTTTTGTGTTTCTGTCAGCCTCCCCTAGGAGACCCACTGCTTTGAAAGGGGCCCCGCTGTGTCTTCGCAGCTCCCCCAAAAACCAGATCGTTTGTTTTCTGAATCTGCAAACTTTTATAAACCTCTTTCTCAAACCACGACCTCCAGTCGAACCCGACACATATGGGTGTGGCTCAAAATTAAAGAGCTAGGGTTACGCAGGTTTTGGTCCATATTTCCACTTACCAGGGTTCCATTTTAGTACCGGTTTTTTGAGCCACACCCATATGTTGGTACTTGATTTCAACCCCCTCCCTTTGGCGAAGGGAAAATGGCACCACTCTTCCAGTCGAGCCAAAGGGACCCTTTGAATCTGCTTCAGAGCCTTTGCCGCCAAAATCCTCGCGGCTTCCCTGCCCCAAACCTGTCACCCTCCATAGCTATTGTTGCCTAACAAGTGTATGAAAGAAGAACGAGAGTTGATGGGGCAGTTCCCCTAGTTTGGTTTGGTCGCCTCTACTTAGTGACAAGGCATTGGGCGGAGGAAAAATCCAGCAGTCGCTATAGGTGTTTGCCGCGGGGTGTGCTGTGCTGGCCACTGGTACTCGACGAGTGGCGCAGCGCGGAATGGCTGGAGTGGCCTCTCGACACCGGGGTGGGTGGCTTGGGATGGGGCGTTTTTCAGGCGAATCCGTCACTGGTGGATTGATTTGAGTGTCGGGTCAGGAGATTCATGGTTTTTTGTTTGCGTGGTTTCCGCAAGCCCTGGGGAGAGCACTTCCCTTGCCATGAAGATGTCTGATGGTTCGTGAGGTATAGTATATTTATATTTGATGTATTTTGCCCAGATGGTTTCTGCAAGACCAAGCCTTCAACAGAGGAGAATTTGGTTTGAAGTTGATTCATAAGTGAGAAAAGGAGGTGCCATGACACCCAAAACTTCCAAACCGATTTCTATCCATAGCACATTGTGATGATACCTTCAGAATTTTCTTGGTTTCGCTATGCAAACAGAAGAGTTTGGTTGCCTGTTAAAAAGTCTATGGCTTTCCCTTTGCGAGCTCACCTGAAGTGTGATGTGTTTGAGCCCTTGCTTGTCCTTTCTGGTTCATGTCCTCTTAACGACGGCCAAATGACGACCACACGCTTTGCAGGAAACTCCGATTTGGGATCAAGGCTCCTGTGATGACCCCACTTGTGCATTCCTCATCATCCATGACATGCTGGCAGATCTACGTGTCACACCCATAATATCCCATAACAAGCTCTGGGAGCAGATTCTCAGTGGATTCCTTGTAGGTGTGTCGTATCGCCGGCTCCCGAGGATCGGTGATGTTTTGGCAGAGAAGCAAAAGACGCTGGGCGTGTGCCTGCTGTCTGCTGCGAGAGATCAGGCCCGCGGCTTGCCGCGTGCGGCTTTCTAGCCTTCTGGCGATTCCCTAACCTGCCAAAGAACAAAGATGGAATCTGCGTGGTTCACTTGGGCAAATAGTCTTCCAGGAACCGCAAAAACCCTCACGTTTTGCGGGGAAGTCTGGCGAAGTTGCGGGCCAAGTTCCGTGTCCGAAAACTTGTGTCGGTTGCCGATGTGGTTGTGGAAGCTGCTTTTGTTTCCAGGTTCCTACTCCCCTCCAATATGATATTGCCACCTGCGAAAAGTTGTTGCATCACCATTCAGAGGCAAAACGCTCCGCATGCAATGCTTGGACCTTCTCTCCGATCCTCCGATCGACGATGATCCTTTGCCGCCGAATTTCTACGGAGGAACCCGTTGGGGGGGGGTCCCTTAAAAGCAGGCGAGGTTCGCCGAGGCGGCGGTTGTCGTTTAGGTGGTGCCGCCAAGCTGCATGGCGAAGCTCCGGGCCGTGGCGGAGAAGCGGCCGGAGCTGTCGGTGGCCTTCCACAGCTTCCAGAGGCGCGGCTGGATCGGTTGGGGCCCCGGTTTGGGAATCCCTGAGGGGTGGTTTGCGGGGTTTGGTGTGGGGTTTGCTGAGTGGAGGTAGATATACAGGCGAAATTGGTGAAGCAACCAGGCCATGAAGCTCTTGACATATGTCAAGCTGGTAATGTTTAGAAAAATCGCGGCTTGAACAAGTATAGATTGGCTTGAGCGGGGTGCAAGTCTTCAAGTGCCAGGGGCGAGCACATGAATACCTACGTGGTGGCTGGGGACAGCTACTGGGAGGCTCTTCGAAGGTTTCTTCTTTGAGCTGCTTGGCTTCCAGCGAGGCGACGCTTGAGCCTCGCGGCTCAAGCCTGGTTTTGTTGTTGGGGGTCCTCATCACACCAATTCCCACAAAGGCAACGACGAATTTGACATGGGGAAGGCACTTTTTTACCAACCTGGTTGCAACTGGGGAAGGCTCCAAGGCTCCACATACCTACTCAAAGCCCGATATCGCCTTTCAAGGGTTGCCATTATACCTTTAAACAATTTGGAGTGAACAGGACATTTGGCGGCATTGCGGATTTCCTGTAGGCCTCTTAAAGCGCCCGGGCCTCGCTGCCAAAGGCAACCGGTTGATTATGATTGTCATGCAGGCAAGGGACAGGTATGCCTGATACACCAGTGCATGTTGACGTCCCCTTCTAATTGAAGAGTACTGGGGAATCCCCGTGAACAGGAGTTGCGTAGGATTCGTTTCCAAATGCAGACCCCCAAGACGGCTTCTGGGGGGGGAGTTCCCTCTGGTTTTCCAAGCGGTTCCCTTTCCAAGTAGCCCAAAGGGTACCCTCAAGAAACGCCCCCCTTAGATGCAGCGGTTGGACCCAGTCCAGCCACGGCGGGCGCCCAAAGCATCTCCCCGATGTTGGGTTTTAGAAGGCCTTTCAATCAAAGGTGTACACGCAATCAGCCCTACAATGCTTGTTACCCAACTGTTGGATGAGACATGCATCGGCATGGGGTCCCACTTAAACTTGGCGGCTGCACCAGCATAGCCAGTTTGGTTGGTGAGCAAACACGTGTTTGCGCCCCTTGGATACACTTCTAACTGGGATCTCTGTTGAAATTGGTTCTCTTTGGAAGGTTCAGCCCAAAGGCAGCAAATGAAGGTCCAAACGGGGCCCCTGGTTTTTTCTTCAGAACTCAACTAGCCCTTGGTTTGGTGGATGCCTCAAATCCCCTTGGCCCCGGCCTTAGACCTGAGGCAATAAGAACTGCCCCTCCTAAAGTAGGAAGGTCCCAGTTATGATGGCCAGTGCGAGCAACGCCCGCGGCTTCACTCTCCTTTAAGGCCATGCAAAGAATCAAAAGCAGCTGGCGCGATGCTCGAGCAGAACATAGCAGAACGGTGCGGTGTGACTTCAGGGCCGGGCGCGATGCCATTTTCCAAGCACTCACTTGCCAGTCGACCTTTGGATCTTTCAGGTCCAAAGGTCCAAGTCCAAGCGATGTGTGTGTGTGTGTCATTTTGAGAGTGACTTGTTTTGGTCGAAAGGGTCTTGCCAAGAAGCACATATGCATAAAAATAGGGCCCGCCCGTTTGTTGATACGTACCCCAGAAGGCGTGTCTTCGTTCCATGCCCTGGCAAGTGACAGTGTCAGCTGAACGCTGAGATGGGAGTCTTGTTGCCACTGGCACTGAAAGCAGAGCACCCCCAGTCGATCCCTGTGGCGCACATATTGTTGTGGTTCATGAATTTCTTTTGTTATTTGTCAAACCTTCCACCAAGATGTTTCCGGCGGGCGTGCCTTGATGTGCCTTCAAGATCTGTCAAGTTCCTTCTCAGGCGGGAGGGTTTGCCCGCTCTCGCCAGCGGAGCGGCCAATAGTAGACTTGGAAGCTCCATGCACCGCGGGGCTTCCGGCCGGCGTCAAAGATACGCAGGGCCTGCCTTGTAGGACGCCTGCAAGCCAAAGCCGGGAAACAGGCTAGGTCCCCCAGTAGTGCCCTTTTACCCTTTTTTGGGGAGGATTCCCCTACTAAAACAGACTACAGAGAAAGGGTACCCTTCTTCTAACCTCTCCACTTCCACTGGAGGACCTAGCAGGTGCCGCGCCAAAAAGAGGCACGCGACCGCATCTGCACGCCCCAGAAGTGGGCCAACATGTTAGCCGCCCAGTCGGTCCTCAGGACAAGCGCGAGGGCTTGGCCTTTCATCGGCACGAGCGCAACTGGTGCCGCGGCCCAGTGGGATTGACGCGGTTTGGGTCAGGAGGTGAAGTTGGAAACCCCACAGTTGCCACCAGCGCGAAGTCGGAATTTTTTGACCTGTGGGTTTTTGCTTTGGCCGCCAGTCACAGAAGTCAGGGGCTCCCAAACAACATGATCACCTTTTTGCCAGGCTTGGCTTGCCTTGTTTTGCCTTGAGGTTTTCCATCAATGTCACTTTCAACCTGCAAGTTAAGTAGCTGCAGAGGGCCCGAGTCCGGCCCAATCTTTCCAGGTTGTTTGCAAGTGAATTCAGGTGTCGCAACTTCACCCATTGTAGATTCGCCTTTTTGGGTGGCGAGTTAGGTTGAGTGCGATTTGCATTCCGTTGCGAAACTTAGTCTTTCAGCATGCCACCAGCCAATAGTGCATGTCCGGCTGAAAATAAACTGACCCAAAACCAGGCGATCCAGAAACAAGCCGATCCAGGAAAAGCGAACACGATCTGCTTCAGAGAAGGTGATGCTGAGCCTTTGTCCACCGGGGCAGGTCGGAATATGAAGGTTTAAGACTCCCCCTTCCTTTTTGGATTGTGTACTTGCTCAACATGTCGAAACATAAGTCAATCATGAATCATGACCCAGTTGTTCAGCTCCACTTTCCCTCGTGTCTTTTGCAGTTGCTACCCCGCCATGAAT